ATGTCTTTTTGTAGTTCGGATTGTCTTTTCTTCCAGAATCCTAGATTTGTTTCAAGATAAACTTATAATTCTTTGTGTTAAATGTTAGAGACAGCAAATAGCCCTTTAGTGTTGTTGTTGTTCTCTTGCTTTTTACACATTGTAAAAAAAATACCAAAACAGTATCTTCTGGTTTCAGCTTGTGGGGAGGACGTATCAAAGCACTGATAGAATGTGGTATTTATTTTCCACAGCTTTGAGAAGTAATGGAATCACGTAAACTGAAGAAAGCTGCCAATAGTAGTTTGAAAAATGAAACGAAGATGGAAGATCTAAGTGAAGTAGAAGTCAGAAATGTCCTGATGATCCCATTGAGAAGGGTGGTAACTTCGATAGCACGGAATCAAATCAGCAGTTAGTGCAGAAAAATCTGTATAAATTAAAATGGGGAAAGCACAGTGATGCTTAAGGATGTGAATAGCATCCACATTTCAGGTACTGGAAGGAGAGTGTACAGAGTGAAAACAAAAGCTAGAAACTGCTATTAGGTCAAGTTGGAATGCTACACAGCGTGTTCTAGGCTAGGTGCATCTGGCTGCGGTGCAGTTCTTGTAAAACTGATTGCAGCCTTACTCTTCGCAGTGTTTCTCTTTGCTCATCTGCATTGCTGTTTGGCTGTATGTGCACTTATGAGATGATAGACATGGGGAAGTGCATACAGACAGCAGCTTTTAAGTTTTTGTACTTTGCTTTATTGAAAATTATTTAACTGAGAAGACAGTTCTACTGGCACTTCAGATCAAGTCCATAAGGATTCTGCTTTCTTTGTCCTTTTCTGTCTCTAATGTTGTAGTATGAATAATAATGGCATTAAGTACAGTGCTTTTGTTCAGTCACCTGGAAGCTGTGCACCTGCAAAGTTGTTTCAATAACTTGATAAGCAAATACCATAGTTCATTGTTTTTAGTGATTTTTTTAGTTTTTAAGCTAATGGTTGTTTTTATATGCTCGAGCGTTGTCATCACACAGTCCTGTAATAGGTAGCCCTGCAGAGTTTTAGCAATAGTCTTGGCTCAAATAAGTGAGTGCTAGGCATCATGATTTCTGTTGAAGTCTACTTGGAATGAGATAGAAATGGCACATTCAGATTCAGCTGGCTAATCATTGGGCCGATCTTCCTGTTGAAATATGTACAGCTATTTTTTGACGCAGATCAGGCAAGTTAAATGTTATTTTTCAGTCTGCTGAGATGTCTTTATGAAGATTTATTTGCTTTAGAATTGTAGAAATGATCATTAAGCACCTTCAGCTGGCAGAGCACTTATGAGGGAAGCGTGCCTCGGTCCTGTTTTTCAATGGCTTTTGTGGTTGGTGTCTGTTAATAACTATTTTTGGAAAAGTGAGAGAAGCTATCAGCTAATAGTAGACGTGTTGAATTCTTGCTTTGATTGGAGCTGCAATGGATTGTTTTAATTGTGATCATGTAGCAATTAAAAGCTTACCAAAGGCATGCCTTTATTCTTTTTGATGTCATGCGAGTGTTCTAAGGTACTCTAAGGATGAGATAGATACAGTGATTTAAGTTACAGCAAGAACAAACATACTGCTGCTGGTCTTAATGCTTCATTATAGACATTCTTATATTCTGTGTTGTGGAGAGAATTAGAGAAGTTTTTCCAGAATGACTTTCAATTTAAAGGTTGTTGTTTTGTTTTTATTATTTGAGTACATTTTGAGGTAGCTGGTTGTGTTTGCACTGAAATGGGCTGTTGGGCTGCAAATCAGCCAGCTCTGGTGCTGCCACCAAAGGCAAGGTTGCCTTTTTTTTTTTTTTTTTTTTTTTTTTTTTTTGTGGGGACTGCAGTGTTTGTGCAGCTGCACAGTGAAGCAGATAGGAGAAGTAATCTGTCTTAAAAATAATCTTTTCTTTTTCTGAGCTGTTTTTCAGCAGAATCTAATTGTACAGCTGCCCAGTGGACAGATCAGCAAACAAATCTACTGGTATACAAAAATGGTTTTATGGGAATGAATGAATGAATGAAGCAGCAGGGCAGGGCTGCCATAGGTGCAACAGCATCTTAAAATATTTGTTAATCTTCAGCCTTAGCTCTGATAAAAACATTTGCTCATTTTCAGTGGAAAAATGAAGTACTAAACTGGTTATTGTTTTCAGGATTGCATTCTTACATGCACAGGCAATACAGAACGTAACTAAAAAATGAGATGTTGACACAAGATCATGCCAGCTTCACTGTAAATGTTGTGTGTTAATAATGCCTTATAAACTATATCAAGTTCATATACAAAACACAGAAAAGTTGCCTATAAGCAGATCTGATACTTAAAGAACATGATCTGTTTTGATGGCTTTTATAGTATTTTGAGCTGTAAGAAGGATCCCGTATTCAGCAATTCATTGCAAGTAATTGTCCTTTTGAGGAAGGCGGCCCAGTTATTTTCTCTTCTAAATAAAACAAATGCCCCTTTCTGTACAACTGAGCTACTAGATTACAACTGCGTTAATTTGGGATTATTTTCTAGTGTGCTTGGGCTTTGGTATTTCAAGTACTTCAGATTTCCAGTTTTGAGACTGTGTTTACAATGTGTTCAGTTATGCGTAAATGCTTTCCATGCTATATGTCTTATCTGGTATTAACTTAGCAAATATGGCTTGGATCAATTAGTTGATGGTCTGTTCCTGCAGAGTGCCCCTCCTACTGGGCTGTAGGTTCTCAACTGAATGAGTTTCACTTACATCCACAAACCTGTTTCGCTGAATTTGGGGCTGGAACCAAATACAGAAAATGAGTGAGAACTAAAGATACAGGCTGTGAACTGTAACTTCTTATGTCTGCAGAGTGTTTGTATTGCTGGAGCTCACGTTGGCAAAAGACTGTTGAAACAAAATGAGATTAGTGTTTATTTAAGTACTTTTGTGGATTTCTTTAGTGTCGTTAGAGGGAATATTTTGATTTATCTTTGAGGTATTTTTTAAAAATCCCTTACCTTGAAAATGAGTATTGGATTAGTAGGAAATAACACTCTGGCATTTGCTTAAAATTGGAAATTTAGGAAATGAAGAGTAGATTATTTGAGTTGCTAGATCCAAGAGTTTCTGGACAGAGAAATAGCGTGGAATATTGGAGGAGTAGGGGAGCTGCAGACATTGTTTTTGCTTGTGAATTTGAGTAAACGTCTGCGATGTGGGAATTTTAAATTCTAGGAAGAACAAGGAAGTGCCTTTATGCGCCAGTACTTCTAATTCAAGAAATGTGCATCTCACATATACAGGAAAAAAAAGACGTTTTTCAAACTCCTTTTACTCTGAGAAGTTGTTACTAGAACCTAATGACAGAAGTGCTTCAACTATCAGTACTGAACAAAGAGAGCATCTTGGTTTGGTAAGAATATTGCTTTGTCTGTATGTCTGTTTGTCCTTCTCTGTTCTCTCTTATTTTAGCTGACTTTGTGTGTTTGGTATCTGTGCCATTTGCAGCTTCTGGAGGTTGATCAAGTCCTGTAAGGTACTTGGGTCATCAAGGCATTCATCAAGGCAGAGTGCTCTGAGAGGAGTCCGAGCTGTTTTTGAAATCATTTTTGATTCTTTTTCAGACAGTTTAAATAACTCGATCCTCTGCAGATAGAATAAAAAGGCAGAACATTGTTGCGAGAAAGCATGGAAAGAAAATTAAAAGGGAGAAATTTAAATGAATACTTGCAAGGGCAGAAATCCGATACATTAATTTCAAATGTTTCTGTTAATTGAAATTGTTGGGAAAGAACAAGACAAAAAAGAGGGGGGAGAAGTGGAGCACTTAGATTAGTCGGTGTTTGCGTACTGAGAAAAATGCTGTAATATATGGGTTGTGAGCACTTCAATGATATACCCAGTTGTCACCTGAGCTTGAATTTTACATGACCACGTTATTGGAATCCAAGAGTGCTTCTTTAAGTCAGACCTAGCTGTTAGACTAGTTTTCTACTTTCAGTGAAGCAGTTGATGATAAACAAAAATGTCCCTCCAAATAATCTTCCTATTCTGGACTTTAATATACTTACATATACTTTCTTTCTACATACATTTCATGCTGCAGGTATGAAATGGAAGAGCGGTTGAAATGGTAGGGACTGTGAAAACATTTCAGGAATTCAAAGGAAGACAAGTGAGAAAGTCTCTAATAATACCCACTTTGATTAGAGGTGCATTTATTCCAATAGAGGAAATGCCAGAAGGCATGGGGTGGCATAAGAGATGGTGTGAGTTTTCCATACAGAGCAGGTAAATGATGCTGATGTTGTGCTCAGATTCTTTGGCTTCCCATTTTAAAGCTGTGTTTGTGGGTATGCAGTCAGAACTGCATTGGGTTGGAATGATTTGCTAGCACTGAATGAGGGGGCATTGGGGTGCATTTGGCAGCCCTGTTTGCATTTCCTTAAATGTCAGCAGGCACAGCAGGGCCGTTTATTTTGCCCGATGTACATGTGCACGGCTATTCTAACTTTGCAGCATGACTTCAGGTGGGTTTGTCCCACTGCCTGAACGCATCCCAAAAGACCAGCCTCGTTCTTGTTGGCAGCAGGTACCATTAGGTCCTGCTCCGGCCTGCCGGTTTTGGCTGCTGTGGTTTCTGACCCAGGCCACAGCTCAGGATGTTTGCTCGTGTTTCTGTCCCGCTGGGTGCCCAGCCATGCCTATGCTGTTGAGGAAAGGAGGATGGGCAGCAGGAATCACAAGTGCATAAAGTAAGGCCAAGGTTGGCAACTGTAATAGCTGAAATCTTTCCCATGTTCGTAGCCTCGTCCTCAGGCTGCCTTTCTGTGGCCTTTTGAAAGGATTCAAGGCTCTTAATGTGCTTATGCTGAAATGAGCCATGTACAGTTCTGTGTCACTGAAGTGTATCAGATGTGGACTTGTGATTTCTGACGTTATATACCTACGAATACTGATGGACATACTGCAGGGTGGGAGCTGTTCATAATTGTCTAGCAACTAATGATGCTTGTGTAAAAACAAAACAAATAACCTACTCTTATCAGTTCTTCTATTAGAGACTTTTTAGGATACAGATGTTTATTTTGTAAGCATCTTCTGTAAGGCAAGAATTGAAATAGAAGATAAAAAAGACTGTCTTAGACTTAAAAATATTGTGCCAAGGTTATTATTAGATGTCTATTTTCAATAAAACTAAATTGATTGTGAAATAAGTGATACGATTATCTCTTGAGTTTGAGCAGTGAATCATGATCATAGACGACAAACTTTTAACCATTGGGACGTGGAGAAAAGGTACCATTGAAAGCTGAATACCACAATTATACATGCATGACTGAAATTTCAAAGTAATGTGTTAGTAGTATTGTGTGAGACGGTCACATGAAAAAGATCATGAGGTTGTGAACAGGATTATGATCATGCTTATCGTGCTTTAGTCATGAATTTCCTGATGGACACATTTTAGTCTGAATTGTGCTGGTTTAAATGGGAATAGTTTCGCTTTGCCTATTCTAGTTATATTACCGTTACGTGGCAAAGGGGAAGACAAGGTATCTTACCTTCAAACGTAGTATGCATTCATTAACTGAATTTGCTTACAGCTAAGATGGTGGTTTTGGTACTGAGAAACAGAACAGTTAAAGAAAGAATAAACAACTAAAGAATTACAGTACGCTGTATGCGCTTACATACTCCTGCGGCATGCAGACAAGCATGTATACACGTCTTTCTCTCAGGGCTTTCGTCTATCTTGAGTACATCTGTACTGCTTACTTCAGCCCTTGAACCCGCTCTTTACATTGAGTAACGTTCCACATTGTAAATCCTCATTTAATGAAAATCAGTGTATTCTTATAGAAATGCGGAGCTCTGCTGGTCTGTAATCAGCCACGCGCCCGATCCAGTGCCTTTACGTACTGCCAAGTATTCTGCTTACAGGGATGACACAAATCATAGAGCCCAGGTCTTCCAGCCTGCATGGAAAAGAGCACAGGTCTTTATCGGATGGCTTTGGAATGAGTTTCCAGATAGTTGTGCGGTCTGAGGGTTGGCTCAGTCCAGTGATTCTTGGAGAGAGGTTTGTAACCTGTTTCTTTCCGCTCCATCAGCAGCAACTTATGTGCTTAACCATTTTCTCAAAGGAGAGTGGAAGGGCTTCTGGAAGGCGTTTTGGGATGCTTTTAATGTTTCTTGTTTAATCCCACTGTTAAATTGTTTCTGTGAGTGAAAGAAAAGACTGCACAGAAGTCTTCTCAATAAATTTTGGGGGTGTGCTCATCCTACTAAAGTTCTGAAAATGTTTGTCAGAGCCCTGAACTCAGACTGCAGTGATTACAAACTCCTAATAGAAGAGCTGGTTATGTAGGTGTAATGTAAATGATTACCTGTGTATCTTTCTGATGTTCCTGGGATCTTCTTTGATACAGATTGTTCCAGTTGACATATACCCTGCTGGTCTTACATCTCTTACTAGCTTAAAAGAAGATTCTGCTCTCTCTATTTTTTTTTTTTTTTTAAAAGCATTTAAGTTTCCAGAAGGTGAATTTTCATCTTCTGTATTTATAGAAGTTTATGGAAGAAAACCTTTTCTCTAATTTAATGTTTTAACTCATTAATTTGCTATATAAAGGTACGAAAAGGAAACCCTTTCCTATTTTCAGTTCTGTTATCTCTCAACCTGTTGCAGTTACAGATTCTTGTATGATATGTGTGCCTGTACAGTAATGTGATTCCCAGTGCTTAAATGCAAAGCATCAAGCTAATATTTTAAGAAATTAAAATGGATAGGAAATGGTGTGGTTTGTTGTAAAGCAGTTTTCTGCATTTCACTTTCGCAGAACACAGCATCAGGACTAGAGAAGAATGAGCGCATACACCATTTGTTGTATGAAACTCCATCTCATTCTAGGAGAGTTTGATCAGCTCTAGTTGAGGTGCACACAGGGAGCAAAAATTGCTTTTGGTGTAAAACAGGCTCCAAGTATACGTGATGTATTTGCCTAATACTTTGCTAGGGTGTCTTGACAGTATATGGATGTATAAAAATCAGGGTGGATGGATTCCTGTTCTTATCCTTTGTCAGCTCTCATTTCTTCCTCAGTCATCTTGAATATATAAGTAGTTGTGTGTAAAAAGCCTACTTCTGTGCTTATTATATTTATTTTTACTTTTTAGTCAGCACAATGTTTAAATAATTTGGAAGTTCCATGCTTCTTTCTTCTTTTCGTATGTTCCTTTCTTGATGGGAGGGTGTCACAGAATTGTAGGGGTCAAAAGGGACCTCTGGACATCGTCCAGGCCAGCCCCACACAGCAGCTCACGCAGGAAAGCATGCAGGCAGGTTTTGATGATCTCCAAAGAAGACTCCACCACCTTTCCAGCAGCCTGCTCCAGCACTGTGTCACCCTCACAATAAAGATGTTCTTCCTTACATTCTTATGGAAATTCCTGTGCTGCAGTCCGTGCCAGTTACATGCATCTAGAAGAAATGCTGTAAATAGTACACAATTTACTTTGTCTTGTACCACGGGGTACAATTAAGTGTTATTAGAAAGCTTTGATAGTGCTTGAATGATGGCTTTAACATCTCTGTTAGAGAATATTCTCTGCACAGAATAAGTCTCTAGAACTTAGACATCACAAGATGTAGTTCTTGGTTTGTTCTTCAGCTTTTAATATCATTGCCAAATGTGTGTCTTTTTCTTAAAGTTTCTTTTGTAATGATTATTCAAATATTTGGTTGTGGGTTTTTTTTTGTTAGCAGATTTTAGAAAATATTTTGTGAAGGTAATTAATTGTTTCCAAATCTGAATACACATTACATCTTATATTGAGTCTTCATTATTACCTGATGTTGAACATTGTTTCTTACATTTGATACAAGGTAGCAGATGAGATTGCTTTGATGTTGTAATTTCTGAAGAACAGTGCACACTGTGTGTGTGTCTGCATAATGGTATTTTTCAAGTTGTGTGGAGGGACATACTTTTATATGAAATAGAACCTGATTTTTAAACAAACGTCCACATAGATATTTGAGATCAGTTAATTTATCTAAGTAAAACATACTAAAAAGAGAACAAAATCCATTAGGAATACTATGACATTGGTTAATGAGAACTTGTTTTGAAATCACTGTTCACTGATGTAAGTTAGGAGTTGTGCAGTGTGTGTTTATTGGAAGCAATTCAGCTGCACGTGAAAGAGCAAACGATACTTGAGTGTTTGTACAATCAAGATGTTATAATCACAATATAATTGTGTATAATCAATAGATATCAAGATGTTATAATCGCAATATAATTGTGTAATCAACAGATATCAAGATGTTACAATCGCAATATAATCAAGAGAATTAGGCAAAGTAGACAACAATCACAAAAGAGAATAAGTGGAAGAGCTTACCCTTCAGCTGAGCTCACCAGAAAACACCAAGAGAGGTGATCTCCAGAAGAGATCCTTCCCCTCTGGTAGCCAGCTCTTAAATAGGTCTAGGAGGCGGGGAGCCAGGCTCCACCCCTTCCGGCAGCACAGCTGAATTGCCTTCACCTGTGCTCCTGTGGCTGACTCATGGCTCGCCTCAGGTGATCAATCAGAGGTTCAGGCCGTGACTCAGCAGTTCCCATACAGTGTTCAACTCTATTATCTTCCTATCATCGCCATAAATAAGAAAATACAGACCACAGTGTTATTTTGAGTATTTTTATTCTTTAACTTGTGCCTTACTGAGATTTCTCGGTATTACCAGTTACCACAGGCGCAGATGCTCCTGAAAACAGAAGCAGGAAAGTTCTGTTCTGACTGACTGTAAACGCTGAACTTGTACTTGCAGCTTATAACTGCCTCCTGTAAGCGTGGCATATGAGACTACGGATCTGAAATGCACAGAGCTTGTCTTCTCACTGTTGAATAAGAAGTGTATTAATACAGTATCTGAAGTCAAAAATTGTTATTCTGTTAATGCTAATATCTAAAAAGATTTGAGTCATTCTGTTGGTGCAAATAAGTACTGGGATGATTATAATCCTGAGACTGTTTTTACACCTAACTGCCTCCTTTTGTGTTTCTTGTAGGAAACAGAGATGAAGGTACACATGCACACAAAATTTTGCATCGTTTGTTTGCTGACATTTATCTTTCATCAGTGCAATCATTGCCATAAAGATGGACGTGACCGTGGTCCTGAAGAGGGACACGAAGACCACCATAACTGCTATCAGATCTCAGAGACACCCTACCACCAGACTGCGGGATCGGAATCCATGCCGAGTAAATTTTCAACATCGGAAGCTGAAAAGGAACAGAAATACTACATTGAAAAAATCTTTGATCGTTACGGTGAAAATGGAAGATTATCCTTTTTTGGCCTGGAGAAACTGTTAACGAGCCTTGGTTTAGGAGAAGTAAAAGTAGTAGTGATAAATCATGATGATATTGGCCACGATCATGTTTCTCACCTATATGCTTTAGAAGTACAGGAAGGAAAGCATTTGCACTCTCATAACCATCCTCATAGCCACTCCGATTCAGAAAACCAAACCGTGGTTGGTATGGCTGAAAAGAAAAATCATAAATGTAACTCTGAGAGAGAGGCAGTAGTGTCATCTATAAAAGGTGATGGTAAACGTATTCACGACCAGAGTCACCATCACCATCATCACCACCCTCATCCGCATCATCATCTCGACCATAACGGTACGCATCATTCTCGTAATGATTCAGTTACTCACAGTGATCACGGAGAGCAGAATCACGGGCCTTCCACAGAAACCAACACGACCCAGGATCAGCGTGAAAGAAAACAGCGGAAACAGAAGAAGAAACGAAAGAAAATTAGTGAGACTTCAGGAGATAATACTCAAGACTGTCCTCCGAACCATCACCTAGGTGATCAGTGTGAGCACAATCGTGTTCATAAACACGATCATGTACACGATGCGTCTCACTTTCATGCGCACCATCGTGAACACAGTGGCGATCTTTCCACTAATCACGGACATCAGGATTCCGGCCTGGGTAGTGAGGATGGTCATCACCATACCAGCAAGCGAGAGGCACCTTGTAAGCACACAGGTGTACGAAAACACACTATTTCAGCACGTGGTCATAAGGATCGTAATGAAGACGAACGCGATTGTGAAGAGGTGAGTATGAAATGGAGAACTGGTAGGTCCGCTTTTGCTGTTATTAAGTAAGACTTGAAGATGCTTACCCACAAATGAAGCAGAATGAACTGTTCTGCCTTCCCGTCACCCATCTTTTTCAGGTTATATTGCCTACTTGTCTCTGTTTAAAGGGTGAGGACATACTTAAAGCATTCTAATGTACCTTGTTTGCAAGTGGTGGTTGTTGTTCTTGTTTGTTTTTTTCCTCCAATATTCAGGAGTACATCTTTTTTTTTTTTTTGTTATTGTCCTTTTTGGACTTTCTGAATCGGAGACTATTTACTTTTTTGGAAGCTGTGCAGAGACTTTTTCCCAAGATAAGAATGCATATTTTCCAACGTGCTTGTTTCTTTGTTCTGAAAGATTGTGAAGCAGTATAGATGCAATTTCTGTTGTACCGCACATGGTGTAAGCGCTTTCTACCATTACTCTTCGGCATCCGCTATTTTGCCCAGGTCCATAAATTCACTGTCCCTATCCCCTCACAGTTTACAGCATGAGCAGGACGGTTTGACTACATGGTTTTAAGTATAGCAGTATAAAAAGGGATGGAGTGAGTGGCGAGTTAGTTTTTAACGTTAATTGCAAAGGGAAACTCTAAACGCAAGAGCATTAATGGCTGAAAGAGAAGTATTAGGAAACCTGGCTTGGATTGATTTATGTTCTGTTCCTTTCTTCTTGCTCTTTCTTTACTGCTTGTACTGTGTAACTGTTAGAAGGAAAATTTGCTTTCACTGACATTTATCAAAAATTGCATATACTTTTGGGGACTGAGTTGTATAATCTGACAGTTTGTTCCTCTTCAAAACAGCTTAAATCAGCTGAGGCTGATTGAGCACTGATGGAACATTTTGGACCAGAGTTTTTCATTCCTGTGTGTGTTTTGAAATCATGTGCTGTGTTTTCCACAACTGTAGGGTTGGTTTTGTTTTTTTTGGGTTTTTTTTGTTTTTTTTTTTTAGTGAAATGGTTGCTTTTCTATTTAATTTGTTTGAACCGTTTGCTTGCAGTGCTTAAATGTTACTCAGCTGCTACGACGCTACGGTCTGGAAACCAGCTCTCAAATATCTCCTGAATTTTTTATATATATGTGTCCTGCTCTGCTATACCAGATTGACAGAAGGCTTTGTATTGTACATTACGATGAGCTTGAAGATCTTGTGAAAAGTAAAACTGCATCAATTGAGAGCGAAGATAAAACAGGCGCTTCAGGTAGGTGTGTCATATCCAAAGCCTTCTGTTTTTTTGTGGTTTTTTTTTTTTGCATTGTGAATTTTAACTTTTCTTCAAAGTTTGAAGCATTGTACAGTTCAGCATTGACTGCAGAGTGAAGTAAAGTTTAGAAGATATTTGGGACAGTACACGCCATTAAGTCAGTAGACAAAGCATAATTTTTGGTAGCCTCGTAGCTTCTCCAAAGGAACCGTGACTCTGGGAAATATCCACTAAATTGGGTTGCCCAGACCCTGTCCAAGCTGGCCTTGACCTCCAGGGATGAGGCATCTACGCTAGCTTCTCTGAGCTACCCGTTCCAGGTAGCACTTCTGGAGGTCATCATATCCTCCCACAGTTTGGGTTCGTTACATCATTTAAAATTTTACAACTTGCTTTTAGAGAGGCTGAGATGGTCCACGCGTTTCTCCGTAAGCTGAAAAGTTGCAGTTGCATCGGCCTTAACTTTATTATTAAATTCGGTTTGCCTATTTTAGTTTAGGAGTAGGGGACAGTGACTTTATCAGTACATTTTCCAGAAGATCCGATTAAAAGTGTTTTTTAAGCTTGTTATACAGAAATCTCGTATAGTGACACAGTATCTTGTTAAATATTAAAAGATTGCTGGAAAGTGAATGTCCTGTGTGTTTTATATGGCAGCAGATCGTTTGTTTGTGGGTAGTCTCACCGTAGTAAGAGTTGACCCTTGTCCTGCCCTGCTGCCAAGAGGATTTATAGAACAGCGTTAAGTGTTTACTGCCAGTTGAAATGTGGAAAAGATGGATAAAACTGTCACGTTGCACATGTTTTGAATCAATTTAATTGTAAAGTTCGTACGGCTGAGTGCTTCTTTTTAAAGTAATGCTTTTTCTGTCTCTGTAATGAGTAGGAGAGTTGATGAGCAGCTGAACTTGGAGGTCCTGTAAAATTTTAAGAGACTTAATTTGCAAAATAAGCGAACCTTATTGTGAACAGTAACATGCCATGGTATCTGGTGTTTTGCATATGAGCAACATTAGCCAGTTAGTGGTGAAAACGTGTGGGTTTTTAACTTAATAATTCAGCTTTGAAAACAGTTGCTCATCTCTGAAGTAGGTCAACCTGATGAGATAGTGATAAATCCTGTAATCTAACAGTGTCACATATACTATGTTTCTAAGTATAAGGAGACTTCAGGTGCCGTAATGACATTTTCACTTCTTAAGTAAGGAAGCGAATCATAAAATATCAAATCTTACCTAGTTGTGATGGTTTTATATTTTGTGGTTTTTTCAGGTTTCAGTATTCCACATCAAAACATCACATAGTGTACTGGGCATTAAAGTGTTAATGCCCCAATTCCAGGTAGCTATCCCTGTACATTACAGAAGTCATGGGATCTGGCGCTTCTGGGTGGGGAGAGGTCTCTTACTGCCTGGCAGTGGGTGCTGGAGGGTGCTTTCCTAACCGTTCCCAGCTTTTCAGGTTTGGCTCGGTTCCGGGAACTCTCTCTCCCATCTTGTCTGATTTATTAATCTCAATTTCAATTAAATTGTATTATATTGTGTTATCTTGTATTCCGATACCATAGTAAAATAAGTTTTCCTCCATAGATTGTTGCTGCTGTTCTTTTCCTCCTTACCTTACTTCCCATTATGTGGGGCTGGGGTGGTGGGGGGAAGGGCAGGGGCCTACTGCCCCCCTGTCACGGGCATAGATTGATCTAGTCAACTCTGTGACCCTAGTGCTTGAGGACTGTGGAAGGGGTGCTTGCCCCGGCTTGTATAAACATTCCTTACTCCATGCTTGGTAAAGTTAGGAACACTCAGGCCATTTTTAAACACAAGATGCTTGTGCTTCTCTTTAGTTTTAATTAAAAGCTTTCCAAATGTGTAATAGACTAGTGCTGATTCTGTTTGCTCGTATTAACTCGTAAGATTTTCACTAGGTCTCACAGTGCAGTTATCTAGAGCAAAGTAATTTAATTAAATGATGACCAAAAATTATAAAACCGTGTTGAGCTTTGTACTTGTTACTCCAGATAATTCTTAAATGTCTTCTGTTACAGAGGTTTCAAAGTCTTCTAGGAGTTTTCGTAGTGTACCCATTGGAAGAGGTTGCATCCTTGTAAATAGAGCATTCCTACAGAACTTGCATACAGGAAACGTATGCCTACTGTTAATCAAACTAATCTCTTCGATTAGTCAACTTCTAGGCACCTGAGAGGAGCAGGCAGAGGGCTGTATGATGTGTGTTGTTCTTCCCCTCTGCCTTCTCCTCACAGCCCCATCTGTTCTGCAGCCATCCAGAGGCCACGTGGATGTCCGACTGCCGATGTGCAGCCAGTCAGAGAGGTAGATCCTTGTATGTGCTGTACCTAGTGCCGCTTTTTATTTCACTATAGGTTTTTAGCTGGAAATCTAAATCTGGATCTAGAATGAGTAAGCAGACGCATTTTTCGGATTGGGAAAGCAAATCTGTTTGCCACATCTGAAGAGCACTGTGGTTTTCCTAAATTACATAATTATTTGAGCATGTACACTGCTGCAGTTACTGGACAAACTGAGGTATTTTTTTTCTTTTCTAAGTTCAGTACACATAGATCTTAAGATCTACTTTTGTCATTTGGTTGACCAAACAGATTGATGCTACGCTGCATGCTTAATTCTGTCCTTGGGCCTGAAGTCGTAGCAGCTCACTCTTTGCATGAATGGCAGAATTACCATATATATTGGCAAAGGTCTTTTAAGTGTGCTTATGTCTGTGCATTTACAGAGTAAAACTGTGCACATCTGAAGTGAAACAAGATGATTCTGAGAGTGTAATTGCCCCAGTTTGTCTGTCGGTACAATAATATATACCAGAACGAGAATCTAGCCCCTCGCTAAAGGAGCAGCACAGAGAACTGATACAAATAAACACTGAGCAATTTTTTTTTTAAGCCAGGGATCAGTTAGAGCTGCTGTTGAAAAGTATTTCAGATCGTGCTTGCCCTGTAAATCTGCCTGTGCGGATGCCAGCATTCCCTTGGAGCCGACCATTCCCCGAGTCCAGTAAAGCCGCAATGGAGCCTTTCTTAAAGGTTGCGGATAGTTAGCCTTTCTCACCTTTCTGTCTTTTTATTCTGTTTTAATTTACAAATAGCTGTGCGGTATGGCGCGGAGCATCCTGGCGCGGAGCATCCAAGCAAGCTTTGTTTGCTACCCGCTGTTTGAACAGAGGTCCCTTCCGGGGGAAATTGTTGGATCACCTCTTTCGTGTTTTCTCCACAAGCATTTTATAAGGCAGAACATAATCGCTTCACTTCGTTGACTGAGCTTTAAATAGTATTCCTGACACTGTTATGCACCAAGGTCTTTTATTACTTATGAGCTTTTGCAGTGCTTGTAATATTGTGTATTAGTTCTACTTCCAAACGTTTTAGTGTTTTGGTCACTACGGCTGTTTGGAATCTTTTGATGTAATTTTGTTCAGAGTTACTAACAGCCTTTTCATCTCAGGATGTAGCTTTATCAAAATCAGTTTGTATGCACATGTAACTGCAGGCTCATACCCTGCTTTTGTAGGTAGTTATTTTTGTGTGACTTGAAAGCAAACTTGTGGTGACAACTTTGGATCCGTACGGCTCGTAAGAGTTTTAGTAGCTGCATTGATGGTTTCTGAAAGCCGATGGCTGAAGTCTGAGAGGGGCAGAGAGTCTGCATTCTCATTCTCATGTGCCTCATCTTAATCATGGTGCCACGTTTAGATACTGTATCGTTCATAAAAGCATGTGAGCCCTTCAGAGAGTGTTTGCCAAAGCTACACTGTAACAGATGAAGCTTCAGCCAGTTCACATCATCTCCATTTCTGGTGTCCATGGAAGGCTGTTTAAGGCCAGGTCATTTAACCTGGCACCTAACATCGTAACACCTGTGTCTAGATTGGAGATTCAGTTTCGTGCTAAGCAGCTGTAATTTTAATTTGGGCAACTTGGCTATGCATTTTGTGATTCAGTATTGAGTTTCATCTTTACTCATCCCTTACTTGTCCCTGTCTCTTTCAGTAGGGCTTGTTTGTTGAGTGCACGTGATGGAAGTGCTCTGGCGATGAATCGAGGTTGTATAGCAACAGTGTTTTTGTTTGCAGGGTCTGGCTTCCACTCTAGATGTACCTGAATTCCTGTTTTCTGACTTCCTGTTCTTCAGTTCTACATCTGATTGCAGCACTTGCTTTTTCACCAATTTCTGTTTTCTTCACACTGTCCGTTCCAGTAGATAACACATGCTTTCCAGAGCTTTTTCCAGTCAGTTTCTTCTAGTGGATATGCTCTTAAACGTTTGCATTTCTATTGGGTTGTTTCCTTTTCTGCACTGTCATGGGACACATGTATACTTTGTGTGAATGAATATCCCAAAATAAAATTTAGAACAGCTAGTGGTGTTTAAACAGGCAGGCTGCAGCAGCCAGGGTTTTAGTGGCAAAACGTTGCTAAATCTGGTCTGTTGCACTTTTAGTGCAAATGGAGTTCTTGGGCCTACGACTGCTAGCTTCTATATTTCATTGAGCAGCTGCAATATTATACTCGCTCTGTTCTTCTCCTGTTCCCTCACTCATTTCCCAAGGTGTTTGACCCTGCTCGGTCAAGAGCAAGCAGACCTTCACAAAGACAAAGGAAGTCATATCCTGCACCTAAGTAACAGAGATGCTAATGGTTTTACACTCAAAATTTGCTAACTTTCCTTAAAGTTCACAAACTAACAGACAATTAGAATTAAGAATGAAGCCAGTAAGAAAACTGGAAGTACCTGAAACATTTAGGCATTTATTCCTTGAGAGGAATAGTTTAAAAGTATAACTAGAGGAAATTGCCTTCTCAAAACTTCTCAGCCCAAGCAGTTAACATTTATACAATGGGAGCCTGTAGTGAAAATTTGTGGAGAGCCATATCTTTCCTTGCTCCGTGTCACTGCAATACGTTACTCTTCATAATGACACTGATGGTTTTCTTCTGCAACCTTATTTACTGTATATACGTGACTCTCAGTTTAATAAAGTTACGTGTAAATTTGTTTTGTTTTGTAAGCACGCTTACTTTATGTGTATTGCTGTGTTGTCATTGAGAAGAGGCAACTCAATGTTGCTGCCACCGACTGTTCTTATCTTTGGAGCTGTGGGACTGTGAAACTTAAGAACTGTACTGTTGGAATCGGTCAGCTTTTATTGTTTTTTGAGCTGTCTGTGATGGGACAAAAAAGGAAGTATTGTGTTAGGGTGAGATACTTATTGCAAGGGGCATGTTTCCTTGTTCATAGGCTCTGTTTCTTGTGTAATTCCTTCTTTTCCACGTCGTAAGGAAACTTGCACGTCTCCACCTCACTGGGTTGTGCTGATTTTAACTTGCCTATTACCACTTTTTCTTGTAATGACAACAAAAAAATGCGTTCTGGTTTTGTTAGTGGCAAGCACTTTCATCTCTTTAACTCTTATTTGAGCATTTGTTAACTCTCTTTTCTTGAGTAAAAATATGTGCTTCAAAGCACCGGATGAGGAGCGCAGTGTGTAGCTGAACGTTATTTCTACCAAAGGGGAGAAGTATTTGCTCCGATTTAAATTTCTGTAAGAATCTTGTGAAAACGGGATGTTAGATGTGAATCAGTGTCTGAAAAGTCATAGTAAGTTAAGAAAAATAGCTGAGGTTTTTTTGTTTCAGCATGAAATCGTTTGCTTTTTGTGATTCATTAGTGGGCTGCAGAGCTAAGCTGGGAACTTAAGTCAGAAGGAGTAGATGGACTGTTGTTCTTGGCTGATTGTATTCTGATGGTTTTTTTTTGCGCTGTGATCTAGTCTGCGTTATTTTGTTGTGGATTCCAGTGCTCTCTTGTATTTTTCAGCACCTTTAGGTTAAAGGAGAGTCACCTTGTTAAGAGATAGTTTAAAGTCTTTAATCAGACTTACAAGTTTTAGAAGTATTGTTCTGATAACCTCTCTGTATCCATTTCTTCCCACAGCCTGGGTTTGTGGTATCATCTCTATCACCGTCATTAGCCTGCTTTCCTTGCTAGGTGTGATCTTGATTCCCATCATTAACCAATGGTGCTTCAAATTTCTTCTAACTTTCTTGGTAGCTCTGGCTGTAGGAACAATGAGCGGAGACGCTCTACTCCATCTGTTGCCACATGTAAGTATTGCTTTTCTTACGTTTTATTCTCATTTAAGTGCGCATAGAATTTACAAATGCTTGACAAGTATTGACACAGGAAACGTTCCTTGACGTAGAAGTGAATTGTCTTAGGTACATTTTGCAACAGTACTGGAGTCTTGACATTTAAACAAAGCAGGTTTCTTTTTATAAAAAACGAAACAAAACAAAAAACAACAACAACAAAAAACAAATATAACTGTTGTTGTATGTTCATAGCCAAACTTCTTTCAGAATGTTTCTAAAAACACCTGAGACCAACAAGATTATTTTAAACTTAGCAGCGTTATGTATCTTGCCAATTGGTGCTTCCGTATCGGTGCCACCCAAAAGTATTTCAGGGGATTCAGCTTCCTGCTTACTAGCTAGCTTCTGGGGAGAGAATAACTTGTCACTCGGTCGAGAAACTGCCCAAGCTCCTGGGAAGGTAAGTGTGTTTTCATTCGTGACAGTTGATGTAATTCTTAGAATAGGAGGTATTTCCTATATTGTTAGTTATCTTTATCCTTTCAACAAGAAGACTAATGTTTTCTTTGTGTGAACTTAAGTACAGATTTTTTTTTGTTGTTGTTGTATTGCAAAACTGACTTAAGACTGTAACTAATTGGAATAGTTAAAAATGTGAGGTTTAGTTCTTACTGAGAGGGCAGCAGCTGTAATTTGTGTGATGTTCTCTGATGTTTTTTCATCACAGTGACAGAAAAAAGCTGGAGAGATGTTTTTGTTCGTTTTTTTTCACCTTGTTTGAAAATTAACCAGAAGAATATTAAAGTAATGAATAGTCTAACAAAAATTTTCTGTGGTAAGATGCGTTTGCCTGAAAAGAATCTTCCACAGCATCATTAATGCTGCTTTTGGGGCGAGGTTGCACACTTTGCCTTCTAAGTTTCGAGCCGTTTCAGTCCCCAGTTGCGCCAAGTTACCCTATGCTCTTGCTTTATAGTCACACGGAGGCCACAATCACAGTCACCACCACGGCCCAGGCCACATTCATGAACACAAGCATTCTCATCGACATGCCCATGGACATGGAGTAGAGAACGAAGGCTTTCTCCAAGAAAATGATCCAGTATTGAAAGGTCTTGTAGCACTCGGAGGCATTTATGTTTTGTTCATCATTGAACACTGTATAAGAATGTACAAGCATTACAATAAACAAAAGGTACGTGAAAAAACTGCACGCTAATATAAAAATATTTCAGCTTCTGAGCGTTGAGAGAATTGTCTGTGTGATGACCGAGCGCGTGCTGCTAATCCGTGTCGTTTGATTTCACGTGAGGAAACGTGATAAAAAAGGCTGCATTTACGATAACCTAATCTGAGAAGACAACATAGGAACCAAATGGGGGAAGTATCATCTTTTCAGCCAGTTACATTTGGAAGTACACCTAAGCAGAAGAAATTACAGCTCTTTCTCTGGCACGCTATTGTTTCTTTGCGAAAATAGGAAAGGAAGTACATACAGAAGAAATGATAGTAGAGGAAGGCACTTGTCAGGCAGTTGACAGGGAACTTGACTGTATACTGCCAGCTGAGGGTGCCAGTGTAACAGAGGTTCACATAAGGAAATGCCAAAAAATTATAGACGCATTAGGTCCAGAAGTAAGCTGTATTCATGATAGTAGAATAAGAAGAGAGTGGGTACTTGAGGGCCTACGTGACAATCCATTGATATTCAAATCGTGAAAGATCTACGTCGTTTTCGCAGTCGTTACAAATTTTTATCACATTTGCTTCCATCGCTTGACTTCGAGGAGAAAATGAGCTGCAACGGTTGCTCCCAAAAAAAGTGAGCAAAGATATCAACTTTTCCAGTTCAGTATCAAACTTGCTGCTTCAGCTGAACGGGTAGCAGATGACTTTCTGTGTCGGAGGAAGCATACCTTGTGATAAAGTGATAAAAGCTGTTAGGTTGCGTGCCTCATCTTTGAGGTTAATTAAATAGTTAAATCCCTTAGGCTGTTTTGGCAAATCTGCGTTAGCTGTCGTACGGCTGCAGGCAGGAAAGTAGCAAGCTGTTATCTAATGGAAAATATGAGGAAGTTGTAGGAGTAGATGATTTAAAATTGAACAGAATAGGGGCTGTTCTTGCTATGTGCTTGTTGTCTGGAACAAAGCAAGTACGATGAGTCTGCGTACGTGTGTTTCTTGGCTGTTACAGCATTCTTTGTCACATTGTACTCTGTTCAAAAAGTGAAATTGTGTGTCTTTTCTAAGATTTTTTCCACAGTATTTCCATTTAGTTTATTTCCACCAATGTCCCTCTATAAATCAGACGTTAAATCTTTCCCGTTGCAGAGTAAGCAGAAATGGTGCAAGAATAAGCAGAGTGAAGAATCGCCAATTGGAAGGAAACTTTCAGATCAGAAACTAAATAATAGACCAGATGCTGACTGGCTTCAGCTCAAACCCCTTGCAGGTAGGCATTTATTTTTAGTGTTTTTTTCTGACTGTGAGACTCGAAGAAATGACATGTAACTTCCAGCATGTAGCATGTCACCTCTTGTGCAGTTGCACTGCTGTTATGTAAATCGTTAATAAGACTTATTAGGCTTTCCCTGCACTATGTATTTTGTTTTTCTTAGATCTGAGAGCGCTGCAAACGCTTCCTGATATACCCTGCAAGCGGTTCTCAGACTTCTGAGGCAGTCAGGGTTTTGGGTGGCTGTGATTCTTTAGTTCTGGGAGGAGTTCTCTGGTTAAGGTAGCTCAGCCCTGGTGAAAACTAACACGCGTGACCAGAAGGAGCATAATCGGTTACACTTGAGAGATTCCAGTTTCTGACCAGTTACTGTTTGGCTGAGAAGGCCAAGCGAAAATTACTTCTTTTGATAAACATAATGGAGAGTCTCAGATATTTCTCAGGTATCCGAAACAACTTTCACATATTGTTTGTTTATGACAATCGTACTGCTGGTGCAGTATGCACCCATACAGGATGCCGTAGCACCTGTCTCGAAGGGATGAGAGAAAGGGAAGAGCTTTGCTTCATCAACTTCCCGTTCTGTTGCCAGCGTGACTGCTGAAACTCACATCCTGAAGAAGAATCCATGTGCTTTGTTTGTACAAATGCAGTTTGTTCATTTGAGTGGTTCCAAGAAGGAAATGTTAGGTCTGCGGCCTTTTTCATTCAAGCAACTAAAAATGAGATTTGGAGGATTGACATAGAAAAGAAAGACTTTTTAACTATGAGCGTGGTGATACACACGTTTGAAATGTGTTCATTTTCTTTTAATGAACAATCGGAGGAGTTTTGCTTCTACTGGCAGGGTTTTATAGCACTGTTCCTCTGAAAGTACATTCAGTAAACAATTTGCAGTAAAGCTACCGAAACCCTCTGCTAAACTGGAATTTGGACTGCAGCACATTGGTACGGTCCTGGCAACTGTCCTTATCCAGTGTTGAACCGTATTGTTTGTCAGTAGCAGAATTACAGGTACGGTCCGTCAGGCTAAAACAGTGGACGCTGTAAATGCTGTATATGCAAATTGCTGAAAGATAGGGTAATTACACTGGTATATTTACTTTTGGCAGAACATTGACCGCGCTGTTATTAGATTGGGCTGAGTTAAAACACTGTTTTTGCTTGCGCAAAGCAGTTAAATTCTTAGCTCAGTGTTGCAGTAGGCGCTGGCGATACTTTAATTAGGAATTAACGCGATGTTTCTCTCCTCTGACTTCAATGTAGGAGCAGATGACTCTGTTCTATCTGAAGACAGACTTAATGAAACCGAACTGACCGACTTAGATGGCCAGCTGGAATCCCCTCCTAAAAACTTCTTGTCAGTAGAAGAGGAGAACAACGTGCACCATTCTCACAACGATGTCTTACGTGCTGCTCAAGAACACGATCTTCATGATTTAGAGTATGACAGCCACGGCGAAGATAAGATGATAGCTACAAAACACAGTCACCCCTGGCATCACAAACACTCTCATCATTCCCACGGCCACTGTCATTCTGGAAAAGACCTGAAAGATACAGGGATAGCTAATATTGCTTGGATGGTAATCATGGGAGATGGCATTCACAACTTCAGCGACGGCTTAGCAATAGGTAAACAAAACCGCTGAGCGTTTCTCAGCAGTTTCCTACCTCAAGTAACTTGGGTAGTGTTTTACAAGGGATCACAGGGAAAATTTCCCTGTCTCCTGTGGCTACCGACGCTGTTAAATCATTGCGAGCATTAAAAGATCATCGGTTCTGATAATCTTGGCTCTATTGTCTGTTTCCACTGAGATTACTATATTGATATCAACAACAGTAGCGATCTCTGTCAAATTGATATAGGCACAGAGAAAACTCCTTGAATACCTGAAACGCACGTTGCTTGTTTGGGTTTCAGTATTCTCCTTAGAGTAAGAAACGAGAAATTATTTAGAATTGTATTTGCTTAGGATTTTACATATTTGCAGTAATATTTTTTTGTTATTAACAGTACGTACGCAGTATTTGTAATTAATGTACTGTGAGCCCGGTTGTTGTGTCATTCTTCCTCCTATGCAAAAAAAAAACAACAAAAAAAAAAACTAAGCAAAGTATTACTTTTGCTTACATACAATTAATGTAGATATATTTCTAGCCAAATGTATAAGAAATTAAACTATCGAACAGGCAAATTAGAACAGTTACAAATCTCACTAGCTTGTTAAGTCAACATTGATTCATATAAACCTCTAAATGTGATTGTTTTCTCTTATATTTTGATTTATTTATTTCAGTAAGGTAGATGCAAAGAGCATGTGGAGTTGTGAACTCCTTGCAGAAGGGATGTATTTACCTCCTTGCCTGTTTTCAAGGAGAAGAAATAAACTAATTAGACATATTTTGAGTTAACGATAAATTCTTCTATAGTATAGTATCTCCGCTTCTTTTCGAACAGTTTTGAACTAAAATAATTGTGTAACAAATCCTGTTCTATTTTAAATGCATAAGACATTTTGGCAATAGCTTCTGAGGGCTAACGGGATCGTTCTGCCACGTATTGAGAGCTTCACTGTTTTAAAACTCCATTTCTAAACACTTCTGCATCAGATCGAAATGGCTGAATATGGAGTACGCTGTGCATTTCAGAAATGCTCATATAGATCTTTTTAATATATCACCTTAGAAGAAACGCATAGGTTTCTAAGGGAAGTTTGTTTTCTCTCCGTCTTAAGTTTGTGCCTTCATTTTTTCTGTTTGGCCTGCTCACTGCAAGCTCTCCTTGTACCTTTTCGCTTCTGAAGTGCACAAGTTTATTGTCAGTTTTCTCACCTCTAAATGATTTAGGGTACAAACTTCAAGTCAGTTGAATTAAATTAATATATGCAAACGTTACTTTAAAAAAGTCTCACACAAATGTTTTTCTTCTTATTGTTTCCGAAGTTAGGCTTGTTTGTATTGCTGATACTGCATTAAGAATAGGCATTAAAGAACTGTTACACGTTAGATGGAATTTGCGACCCAGAAAACTGTTGCTCTTGTGCCTTTTTAATTACCCAGTGAGCTTGAAACGTCCCAAGCGCGTGAAGTGGTGCCGTTTTCCCCTTTGGCCTTTCTGTCTCTGTTTCGTGTTTCTCTTCTTTCAGGTTTTGCTGTTCGGTTGAACTAGTAATAATGTACGTGCACAGCGTTAATGCACACCAGGGTACTTGCAATATAATCAAAAAGTATTAGTGTGCGTGTTTTAAGAAAAGGTGGCGAGTCTGTTGAATAAATTTGCTGATCAGAGGATAGTAACTATCTGGGAACTGCTGAATCACGGCCTAAACCTCTGATTGATCACCTGAGGTGAGCCATGAGTCAGCCACGAGAGCACAGGTGAAGGCAATTCACCTGTGCTGCCAGAAGGGGTGGAGCCTGGCTCCACCTCTCCTAGACCCATTTAAGACCTGACTGCCAGTGGGGAAGGATCTTTTCTGGAGATCCCCTTCTCTGGAGTTTCATAGAGAGCGCTGGATACATGTAAGCGTTCTATCTGTTCTCTTTTGGTATATTAACTGCTTAGCCAAACGCTGTGGTATATTTCATAATTATAACATCTGTACATTCATTGATTATATAGTAACATAGCATTTGTAACTTTTTTTTCTTTTTCTTTTCAGGAGCAGCTTTTAGCGCTGGTCTGACAGGAGGGATTAGTACATCTATAGCAGTATTTTGTCACGAGCTGCCCCATGAATTAGGTAACGAATTTTATAAAACTGGTACTTCCTACAAAAAAGACTGAATGAATGTGTGTGTGTAAATTCTGTTGTGACACTCCTCCCAGTAGCTGCTGGATAGGCGCAGTTGCAGCGAGGGTGACCGGACCTTTGCAGAGTGACTGAGCAGTATTGTTTCAGCATACGTAATGAGACTGTTGAGATGTGTTTGGCAGACATAATAGCTATAGTGTTCTGTGAAGTATTTTCAGGATGCTCACAAAGGTATTCGGGAGTACAGAGGGTACATTTTTTTTTGTGTTACACCTCTGCCATTTTGTGCAGAGTCTATTGCGTTGTCTTCAAAAATGTTATATAGCGTATGACGTATTACAGAAAGTTAAATGATTAAGGAGAAGTCTTTGTGTAGATGTCCAGATGTACCGCTTATCACCGAGTCCGGTCGATTTGAATGGATGTTTGGCTAAAGCCTGTAAGCATCGTTGCTGATGCCTTTTACTCTTGTCTATAACTAAAGCATTTTTTCTCGGGTGCTAGCTTATCATGATGCATCAGCCACAAGATACATCACGTGAAATATGAGCGTGTCCCAAGATTTACAAAACAGCAGCTCGAGAGAGGAGTTCTTCGCCCAGTCTGTATAAACACCTGGGATTGTCCCAACCCAAGTGCAACACCTCGTACTTGGCCTTGTTGAACCTCGTTAGCTTCACACGGGCCTGGTTCTACAGTCTGTCCAGGGAAGGTCTGGATGGCTTCCCTTCCTTTCAGTGTATCGACTCCAATTTAGAGAGAAGGGTGTGGTGAAGGACCACGTCGAAGCCTTTGCAGAAGCCCAAATAGATGACATCCATCGCCCTTCCCCGGTCCACGGATGCCGTCACTCCATCATAAAAGGCCACCGGATTGGTCAGGCAAGATCTGCCCTCAGTGAAGCCATACTGGCTGTCTCAAATCGCCTCTGTTTTTTCGTACGTGCCTTAACAAAGCTTTTAGGAGGATCTGTTCCATGATCTTCCCAGGCACAGAGGTGAGGCTCACTAGCCCAGGTCATCCTTTCTCCCTTCGTTAAAAATGGGAGTAGTGTTTCTCTTTTTGCAGTCACCAGGGATTTCACCCAACAGCCACGATTTTTCAAATAGGATGGAGAGCGGCTTGGCAACTACGTTTGCCGCCTCTCTCAGAACCCTAGGTTGGATATCATCCGGCTCCATGGACTTACACAGATTCAGTTTTGTGAGGAGGTCTTGGACACGTTCCAATTCTACAATGGAATGGAATCCACTCATCTCACCCTCGCCTGGAGCTTCAGGGTCCTGACAGACGTGGGGGCCTGACTGTATTTTAGCCTGGCCCGCATTCCTCCAGATCACAAATGCTACCGCAGCGTGATCGCTGCAGCGTTTTAGTTGGGCAATGCCTTGCATTGCTGAAACTTAGCTACTTGCTGTCTAGAGTACTGGTACTAAACCACTGTATTTTTGTCCTCAGGTGATTTTGCTGTGCTTCTTAAAGCTGGTATGACAGTAAAGCAAGCTATTGTGTACAACCTGCTGTCCGCCATGATGGCTTACGTAGGCATGCTGATCGGCACAGCGGTGGGACAGTATGCGAATAACATCACCTTGTGGATCTTCGCAGTCACTGCAGGCATGTTCCTCTATGTGGCGCTGGTCGATATGGTAAGGCGATTTTGATTTTTCTGTTTCCCTGGTGCAAAGCAAAGCAGCTGACACTCTGAAAATTCCTCTCCCCTGTGGCCAGCGGCTCCAAGTTCCTTGTCAGGTTTCTCTGCCTTGCCGGTATCCTTGAAGCATTAGTGAAGACAGCTGAAAGAGAGCGTTCGGTTTCTACTGAATTTCCTGGTATCGGCAGGATCTGTCTCGCTTAGCAAGCTTACCTCTGCCATTACTGCCACGCTGGGCTCAGGAAACTGAGTGTCAGTGGGGCTGCTGGCTTCTCGCCTTTAAACTCAGGTTTGGTTACGGAGGTCTGCGATAGTCCCACTTCCGTTAGAACCTTTAGGACCAGGACTCGTGGAAGCTGATCATCGCTGTATTTTTTTCTGTCTGTGTTAAGGCAGCCAAAAATGGGCTATCTCTTTTATTATAGAGAGCTTTAATTAGTCAATATGCCCCAGTGTTGAAGTTGCTATTATAAATTAAGTCTGTCAGTCCTTTTCAGGTCTCGCTGAGGCGAATGGCTGCATAGTAGAGAATAAATCCTCGTGTAAATATAGATGTTCTGCGGTAGCCTATAGTTACCGGATACCAGCTAGTTTCCTGTAAGTTCTGTGCTCATATTTTTTTCCTTCATGTACTTTCACTGAAGACAGAATGTATAAAGGAAGGCAGTATTTTCATTCTGCAGTATTTTTATTCTTGGTCCATTTCCTTAGGCACACAAGCATTCAATATAGTCTGACTCTAAAGAAGAGCGGGAGTGCCTCTGTGTGATACACCTGAAAATGCACTGAGTTCTTACAACTCCTTAATCTGCCTTCCTCTCGAAGTCCCTGTCTTCTGACACCTAATAGGAACGGAATTGAATTGTTTTGCAGTTCAGCTGAGGCCCGCTAAGGGGCGACTGACCTTCTGGTATTCTTGTGTATGATAGAAGTTCATCTGATGAGATAGATTTCTGTATTGCTAAAATTTAGTTTTCTCCTAGTTGAGAGGAGGGAGAACCTGAACTGAACTCAGGAAATCTTACATCCTTAAGGCTCTCTATGACCTCATGCTGTCACTTATGTGGAGATGATTTTTGAATTCTGTTCTTACTGGAAAATTATATCTATTTCATACTTTA